GCCGGGGCCGCCTCCTCCCGCACGGACCCATGAACCAGCCGGGCGGCGCGGCGGCTCCGCAGGTACGACCGGGGGCCGGGGGCATGCACCGCGCGGGGGACCCCGGGGGGCCGGGGCCCGGAGCGCTGCGCCACTTCATTGCAAGATTTGCAAAATGCAAAGTGCCTGGGCACATTTGCGGGCTTTTTGTGGAAGCAAACTGGAGGGTCGGGGTCCGAGGAGCCCCTGTGGGCACCGCGGGGTGTGAGGAGGGTGGAGGTGGCGATAGGGTCTTTTCGGGCCCCCACCCAGCGCCCCCTCCAGCCCCAGGCTCGGACCGGAGCCCAGAAAACAAAGCGGCGAGAGAACAGAGCAGCCATTTCAGTTTGGACAATTCACATTTTGCTAAAATGCAACCTCTTCCAGCTCTTCCCCCCTCCCCCCCAAATATGCAATTTCCCCCTGACCGTCTCTGCGCTTGGGGTCCCTGGTGACCCCATGGAGGTCCTTCCCTCCAGGCCCCCCATCTTTGCAACAATCTTTTTTTTTTTAGGCCATATTTCCCTTTCTCAATTTTTTTTCTAATTTTTCTTCAAACGGTAGTTTTTTCCCATTAAAACGACGCCACCTAGAGGATACTATTTTGTAAATAAAAAAAGAAATTAAAATTGAAAAGAGAAATATTTTTTATTTCTTATTTTTTCAAAAGTTTGCACTATAAGATAGGGGAGGGAAAAGGGATTCTTTTTTTTTTTTTTCTTTTTTGGCATGAAAATTTCCACTTTGAGCTTTCTAGAAGCACGGAGACAATTTTTATTTCTGAAGCCAAATCCACATAATATGTAAATGAAAATTAAGCTGGAATTTGAATGAATTCAGCTTTTGGAGGGGAGAAAGCAAAAAGACTCCTAAAGCAAAATCAGTCTGGCTACCCAGCTCATTTTAGTTTGAGAAAAAAACTAATTAGAATGAGAAAAGGAGGGAATTTGTTGAGTTTAGGGAAAACTGGGAGAATTGGCTTTATGGAGCAATTAGAAATTGTACTTCATTGTAATTTGGAACTTGTTTAGTTCAGCGGGCAAGAAAGACTAATTTCATCATTTGGGAATATTTAAAGTTTTTCTGTTTCTAAGAAGGAAGGATTTAAAAGAGAAAATAGACTCTAAAATGTTGGCTTTGGACACACCCAAAAATTGTAGGTTTTTTTTTTTTTTAATTTTGCATTTACATTTTAGTGCATGTTTAAAACCCTAAGGTTCTAAAAGAAAATTAGAAATTGGAAAAGTTGGAGTGAAATCCTGTCTTTTTTTTTTTTCTGCATTTGTTGGGTTTTGTGGGGTTTTTTTTTTGTTTTGTTTTGTTTTGATGGAATAATTAAGACTGTTTTCTGATTTTGTTTCCTGAAAGATCTAGGCATTTTTTTTTTTGTTGTTGTTGTTTTATACAGAAAATGTCAGGAGTCTTTTTTGAACAATATTCAGTGGAAAATGTAAATTTATTATATTATACAAATCGCATAGCCCAGAGATTTGTAGGCGAGACCGCCATTAAAATAAGATATGCATAATTAACATTATTATGAAAAAACTAACAGTGGCTTCACAGAAGCTCATTTATTATGACATACAGCTGAATCTGTTGAAGACAAGGGTTGAGCAGTCCTTGGTAGAAGAAAATTTTCCCTTTTCTGTGCTTTCTCACTCTTACAATTTGAAAAATTTACTATTTTTAAAAAATCTGAATTGTTTTCAGGCCTCTTTGATTGTGATGTGGGTTTAATAACACTTGGTATTTTTCAAAAATTTGATTACTTTCATAGGAAAAAATTCTATTACTCTTGATGATTTTTTGGGGTCTGTGACCAAAAAAAAAAAAAAAAGCACAAATTTTACTGACTGAACCAGAAAGAAAGATACAAGACAGAAAGGCAAAGGGGAGATGACAATTCTGATTCTTATCCATCTTCCCTAGTGGAACACTTACTTTGCTGAAGAAATGGGGTAAAATATCAACTCAGCTGCCTCTAGCAGGAAATTTTAAATTTTCTAAAGGGGGGAAAAAAATACAGAAGCTCAACCCAAAGGTGCTTGTCTGCAAATAGTATTTCATTTGGAGTTTTTTTTTCTTTTTGACCTTAAAATGAAGCAATTGAAGGTGAAACCAAAAAAAAAAAAAAAAAATTTTTTTTTTTTTTTTTGTGAAAAATATTGACTGGATTGAAATTTGAAAGATAAAAATTGGTACCCACCCAAAGTTGAAGGATTATTTGTAATAAATTAGTATCTGATCTGATTGAGGTTGCTGGGGATTTTGAGCCAAAAATAAAAAAGTTCTGATTTTTCTGCCCAAGAGGTAGAGGAATACTGTTAGGGTTTGCGGGGTGGGATCTTGGGTAGGGAGCTGATGGTGGGTCACACAGTCTAGGTCTGGAAACCCTACTACCCTTTTCACCAGGTATCATCTGGTCTTGGAAGATCTGGTGGCCCCAGTCCATGGATTCCCAACCCTGTTTTGTGGAAATTAGGATTTCTAAGGGAGTAAGAATTCTGTGAAATATACTTGACGGTGGCAGAGGTTTGACATTTCCCATCATCACTATTGCATTTGGGAGATTTTATTTTTTTAGTTACGAAATCCTTCAGGGCTGACTGGCCACATTCTGACATATTTGGAATGAGCTTTTTTTTTTTTTTAAGTAGCATAATTAAAATTTTTTTCTGTTGGATTATTTAGGCCGATGCCTAGGATGGTCAAAGAATTTTTAATTTTCAAGGGGTTGTAGGGCCTCTGGAGACAGTAGGCCTGAGTTTAGCAGACTGAAGAAGGAGGGCTATGCCCTGGGCTGGGGAGGGTTGGGTGGGGGTAGGGGCATCTGAGAAAAAGTAAGGGTTGTAGATAACAGGTTATTTCTGGTGCAAGGAATAAAAATACGACAGTACAACCCTTTGTGTTTTCTGGAGCCCCTGACACACAACTCACATTTCCTTCATTCTGCTGAAATTTTGTTGTGTTGACTGTGGCTTAAAGCGACTCCCTGGTCAGAAACTGAAAATCATTTCTGTTTTGTAGACCTGTTTTTTTTTTTTTTTTTTAAATTGGTTATTCTGATCATGTTTGTTGTAAAGGAAATAGAGGTGCATGATGGTACTGTTGGGGGCGGGGTCAGTTTTCTTTTGTTTCTATTGGCGTCTCTCAAGATTGAGAGCTGACCTGGGCCTTGCCTCTCACACCTCCTGTTTGAGAAGGCAGTGTGACCAGAAATGGATATATGGGCTAATTTTTATTAGCCTGTGTCTGTTCACCACACTGTCTCACATTATTGGGTAAAAATTTTGGCAAATTGGACTTGAGGGGTGGTAATTTGATGATGGGCTGAGTTACTTTGGTGAAAGATCATTTATGCTGAGTTTTACAGTGGAGACGCTTATTACTTAATGTTTTGCTTTTCTGCCTAAGGACCTTTTTTTTTTTTTTTCTAATAAGGTTTGAAATTTCAAGGGCCTGCTTTATAGCTTGACTCCGGACCAAGCTAGGAAAAAGGGTTTGTTTATACTTTCAGCCCTGCGCAGAGGTGAACTTGAACAAGGGCTCTTGCTTTTGCAGAAGGAAAACAACAAAGATGGCTGGTCAGTGTAAGGCTGACCTCTCTCTGGTCCTAGGAAATAAACAGCCAGTGGTTTGTTTCATTTGAGAAGCAGAGTTTTAAACTCCTGCTGTGTCAGCCACAATTTTTTCCCACCTTTGACTTGACTCTTGGCATACTGCTTCCTGTTACCTCAGAACCCTCATGTCTTCTCCTTAGTGGGATGATAAGAACTTCCTTGCCATGTTTCACTGGAGGTATAAGCTGATTTTTCATGGTCATGATGAAATTCTGAAATTTTTCCATGTTCTCATATTATTTTGTGTCTGTTGTATCTCCTCTCTTTATGAGTACGCAGGAGCCCTAGATCACCCAGTGGCTTGCTGCGTGACCTTGGATGAATCACTTTTTCCTTCTGAGCCTCAGTTTTTGCATTTGTAAAATGAGACCTCTGTATCAGATCAAGGATAATAATAAATAAGTTTCATCTCTAATTCTAATGCCGAGTGATTGGGTCTAGCTGCCTGGGTCACTGTGTTAAGAAGATTCTGAGGCCATATCTAGACTCCTATGTTCTGGAGAGAAGGGCACAGTGATCAAATAACAGTGTCAATCATGGAATGGAGAGTGTCACTCTTATTGACCATACCTGGACTAGACTGGGGATTACGGCCCGTTATTGGATTGTGAAATCATTTTAGTGGCTACAGTTGGCATTAAAGAAAGAAAAAAGGATAGAATAGAAGGGAACGAAAAAAATACCAGAGGCATAGTAACAGGGTACAGGGTAGTTATTAGCTCATGAATTTTTATTTTATTTATCTGTGTATATATGTGTGTGATGTGAAATGTTACTGCCTACCGTGGGTCCTGGTCAAAAGAGTTTGAAAGATGCTGATCATAGTTAATTCACCATGATGGGCTGCAAGTACACTGTGATTTACTTCTTATACTTTATTTTTCTTCTATCATCCCTGTTGATTTTTACATGAGCCCCATAGGCTAGGTGTCCTGTGCCACATACTTTGTCCCCTGGTCGAGCCGGCCTCAATTGCTACCTGCGAAGAAGTGTCAGCTTCGTGGGAAATCAGACCCACACCCAGCTTGTTGGCCTTGGTTGAGATTGGAAGGCCAAGAGCTAGTTTGAAGGGAGCGTCTTTGCTAGAATCTCTTGCTGGAAAGATTTTAAAAGTAGTGTGGGAACCCTGTCTTGGTGGTAGGGACAGTTGTCAGAGTTACTTTTATTGCCCACTTTTACTTCAAATTGCCAGAACATTTTTTCTTTAGTTAGAGAGTCCATGTTTATGCTGTATGTAAGTTTTAATCAGATTCTGTGTGAGTGTTTGCATTTTTGTGTGTCTGTAACTAAGAACTCCAGAATTGCTGTCTTGGTCTCCTCATCTCTTAAATGTGCCAGACCAGCGCTGTCCAGTAGAAATAAGATGTGAGCCATGAATGCAAGCCCCATATATAATTTTTAATTTTCTAGTTGTACATTAA